TAGAGTTTTTCAACCCTGGATCTTCATATATTACTATCTATTCTTCGGTAAATTCTAGAATATTATAAATGGGAAAATGCTATTCGACAAAATATCCCTTTGATCGATGCCAAATTTAGGTTCTGAATTGAAATAACATAATTAAAAAATAATATATCCTAGAAAATGTTTTATAAATACCAATGAGTATATAATTATACAAATGAGATCTTTCAGAGCACCGTGTTTGAGAAAAATATGATTTGCAAAAAAAGAGTGCTACAACGCCAAAAAGTGCATTTTCATATTAACATTTCAAAAGAGTTGATATTTTGAGTTTCTAGTAACACTTGCGGCCCGTTTACTAACGTTTTTATATTTAAATAAAACTACAAACAAAGCTACTAACTACAATTTAATCATAATTAAATAATATTCACGTAAAATATCCTATTGAACGTAATTGAACATCATCTGTCAAAAACGTTTGACATTTCACGGATTAGCAACCGTCCATTGTTTTATTTATATTACGCTTCTACAAAAATTTTCAAATTGAAAATAAAAAGTTTCTACGCGGATTTGAAATATTTTCTCACCTTTTGGACTTTCTCTGGATTGGCACGAATTTTTCAAGACTAAAACTGGCCAAATCGATTCAGGCGTTTTCGAGTTGTACTTGGACATTTGACAGAGAACTCCATTTTTATATATAAGATTACAAAAAATTTAAAAAAAAGCCTCGAGACTTAAGAATAGTTAAGAATCCAGTAAATCTACACTATATATCAAACAAAATACTACATGAGGCAATTCAAGTTCCGGAAATTATGGAATTAATAAATAAAATTTCAAAATTATTTTTTTCAAAATGTTTAGTTAATAATAACACAACAATTAATGTGATAAGTTCTGTGACAAAAGATATGTTCTGGTATTCTAACTATGTGCTACCTAATTTTATAAAAGATCTTTAGTTAAAATAAATATTTCAGTTTTAATTTATCAAAAGTTTTCCACCAGATTTATGTTTTTGTTAGTGTTGTATTGTCCTTAAATATATTTTTTGTGGTTTTTGTGATATTTTTCCACATAATAATTATTTTGATTAAAGTAATAATTGAGTGAATTTATTATAGTTTAAATAATTGTTTTGTTATCTTCAAATGAAGATTTGATTTGATTCATGTTGTAAATTTATAGATTGTATATATTTTTTCATATTAAATGTAATAAAAATCTTATAAACTAAAAAACTAACCTGCTGATGCTAGAACATTGTTGGGTATTTCAAAACAAGCTACTCACGGCATTAAATCTGGAATCAAATTTTTTTGTAACCTAGCATTTGGTGATAAAATTCATTATGGTACTCGACAATTAAAAGGTTCTGAACGTGAACAAATAGGAGAATAACTTTGTATTAACAATAAAAGCTCCAGAATCCTAGAAAATGAGAATAAGATAATACAAAATGATGGTATGAATCTTCCAATCTTGTATTCAAGTCATGTAATGAAACAAGCGAAATACGAGTCGAAAAACAAATTGCATGCATTCAAGGATCCTCGTAGATCCCTGGAATATATGCAACTTAGCGTATATAACAACTCAATACTTAATACTGGATTAAATCCATTTGTTGTTCATTACTTTACGAATTTTCAGAAGCAATTATATAACAATTACAATAAAAAAACATTTGTTTAATAAAATCGATGCAACCGGGGGAGTCGTAGAGAAAATAAACCGATTCGATGAACAACTGACTAAAAATATATTTTTATATCAATGTGTAGTTATCACCGATAGTGGAACATTTCCAGTGGCTCAAATGTTATCAGGAGCGCATCATATGGTAGCCATACCGACACGCTTAAAGGAATTTGTGCGATCTGGAGTTTCTATTACGAAGAAAATAGTCTGTGATCAGTCGCAAGCACGTTGGTCAACTTGCCTGAGGGCATTCACCAATTACAATATAATTGTAGAATATGCCGACTATTTATTTGCTAAAAATTTACCATCATGCTATAAACGCATTGATGTAGCACGGTTTATTAAGTTATACACAATTATTTTAAAATCCCTTCGTTCATGTATAGCCAAATTGCATAAAAAATGTTTGTATTGGTTGATATCAAATTGAAATTGAAAATGAAGAGCAAGCTGCCGAGGATCTTGCGATTATATTGATTATATGCAGAATCGAAACCAAAGGCTTAAATAAAAATGTTGCCAAAACACATTGTGAAATGACAAAGAAGAAGGTTATTCAAACTGTGTTGCAGAAAAAAATAGAATTAGATAATAATACAATGATTTCAATACAAAGGGAAGATATGATTGATGAGGGTACTCAATTTTAAAATAACTTATTATATATGTTACGGTAAATGTGCACTCTTGGTGAATGTGCACATTAGAGATGTGGCCTCATCATGTCCGAAGCCGGATCAATTCGGATTTGACTCCGCTTCAGGGAGGAGTTATATCCGCTTAACAACTCCAGGACTCCGACCACTTTGAAACTGAAATACTCGACACAAATGTGTTCTATTGTGCATTGTTTATGCATATAAGGATTTGTCAAACCCCATTTAATTTTTTGAAATGAAAATTTATGAATAAAATGAAATTAAAAATTATCAATAAAATAATTCACAAATAAATGACGAGTTGTAAAATTTTTCGATCGACCACATGATCGACTCAATGGCTCGTAATTTTAACAGTGCTGACCAAACGTAAAACTTGAGAATCGAATTTAATTTAATTATTTTCTTTTGATGAGAAAATAATTGATTTTTTGGATTAATTGTATATAAAAATATTGTAGTAAACTTTGTAATAAAAGCAAAACATTTATCCTAAAATATTTTCACCAAATAATAATACTTCTGCTTTTTAATTTTTTCTTCTGCTATTTCCATTCGAGAATTAATATTATATCGGGTAGTTCCATTAAATAAATAAATAAGCCTTTTATTTCTTGCCTATTTACAAATTTTTATATCATGATTATTGCTAACCTAACATAAGCGTGTATATACAGAACATTATAGTAATATGTAATATTAATATGAACATTATAGTAATATGTAATATTATTCGGCAAGAACCCCGGGTTGGGTATAGGCCTCCTCCAAAGATGTTCATGCTTCTCTATCTTGTGCAATATCTCTCCAGATCGTGCCAGCTGTTCGTCTCAGGTCGTCTTCCCATCTGGTTAGTGGTCTTCCACGATTTCGCTTACCCGCTGGACCATTCCACGATGTTACTCTCTTTGACCATCTTTTATCTGTGCATCTCACAACGTTCTTGGTATGTGCAAGTTGTTGGCTTTCTAAAATAGCGTTACTAATGGTATCGTAATAGTTTTGTATCATATCCCTTGCTTGTTGATTTGCTAGCACAGGTAATGTAGATTTAAGATGGTTCTTATAGATTTCTATTTCCTTTGCACTATTGAATTGACAAACTGGTTTATTGGTGAAACGCGCTCTGCTTGGTTTATGTTTAGATATTTTTTACTGCACCTCTGATGGCGCGATGGTCAGATGGGTAGTTCAGGTTTAACCCTTTGAGTGCCGGGAGCCGATATATCGGCTCCTGCTACACTCGCGAGAAATGCCAGAGCCGATATATCGGCCCGCGCCTCGAAGCGCTTTACTATTCGCATTCCGGGAGAACTCTATCTCAAAATAAATTTGTAATAAGTTATAAATGATCTAATTTCACTATGAGAGAATTAAAAAAAATAGTTTTTCGTTTTAACTCTTTGTGGACGACGACCTTTTCCTATCGCTTGGAGGTACCGAAGTCTAACATAAACACCGATGGTAAAGTACGGAAACTGCCTGGAAAACTGGAAAGGGTTTGCGTGGTGTGCAGCAGAAAGGATGGTGGCCCAAAGAGAAAATCACGCACAGTTTGCAATAAGTGCAACAAAGGATTGCATAGAGTGTGCATTAGTAGCCACGAATGCTAAATAAATTATTTGTTTGAGTTGCAATAACAAAATTTTACACATTTGCAATATATATATAAATATTTATGACAACATAATTTTGTTTCAGTAATGTTATATTACCGATAACAATTACATATTTCGAAAGAGATAATCCGCCTGGCGCCTTCCGTGTACCTTCAAGTTATGTTTTATTTTTGTTATGTAATATTGTTTATCTTGTTACAAAATATATTGGAAATACAAAGTATATACTTCATTATAATTGACCCATATAAAATTGTGGTGAAAAGATGGCTGTTTGTATGTGCAAACACGTTTTGTACGAGAGAACTCAACTTTTACTTCATTTATAAACATATATACCTTTGTTTTTACTATAATTCTCAAATGAGTACAAAAAAACTAGTGTCATTGTTTCGTTCTGTATTTCATCTATAATACGCAGCTTTTTGAATCATGTAAATATCGTTTCTCGTTTGGTTTTTATAAGCATTTTCCCGAACCCTTGTAAAACTGTGATATTCGGCCGGTTTTTCTCGCATAGGCACCTCCATTTCGCCCGGCACTAAAAGGGTTAAGACCTCGAATTTTGTAAATGATCGAATTTGGTTTGTGAGAATGTAATCAATCTCGTTTTTATGTCCATTCGGCAACTTCCAGGTCCATTTACGGTTTGGTTGTCCATTTACGGATGGCGTGTGCGCGGCCATTTTAGACAATAAACTGTCAGTAGTGAGCGAGCAGCCCAAGTACAAACACCATCGTGCGAGTCAAAGCGAAATTGCTGCGGTTTTGTGTAAACACGGCGTGTGCGCGGCCATCTTAGACAATAAACTGTCAGTAGTGAGCGAGCAGCCCAAGTATAAACACCTTTTATAACCTATCAAGCCATCTTGCGATATTTTTACATAAATAACGCCATCTTTTCGAAATAAACAATCATCACTATCCATTCTGTTAGGAAGCGCGCGTATCGGTGACAGAGCATCGCCGCCACTAGAGGGTGTAACTTACAAAAATAAACTATAAAATTAATTCCAAAATAATCATGGATGAAATTATGAAAGCCCTTAAAAAAATTCAGCTGGAACTTGACGACCAGAAAAAAGAGATTCGTAACAGTGTATTAAAGGTCACAGAACAGGTCACACAAAACATCAACAGGATATTAGAGGAAAAACTTCTTGCTTTGGAAGAGAAATATGTGAAACTCAAGGAGATAGTAGACAACCAAGAGAAGAGAATCTACTTCCTAGAAAAACAGGCGAGACAAAGACATAGTTATTTTCGGTATCGAAGAACTGGAATCTTCATACGAAACCTTACAAAAACATATGCTCAATTGGTTAGACCTACACTTTTCAATCAAATTAACAGATGCCGATCTACAAGTAGTTAGAAGGCTAGGAAAAAAGGGCGATAAACCACGACCCACTCTAATATCCTTCTCAAATCTCAGCACTAAGATAAATATATTGAAACAGAAAAAAGCACTGCGCGACACGTGCTACTATATGAAGGAAGATTACCCAAAACAGATCCTAGAAAAAAGAAGACAATTACAAGAACAGCTGAAAATAGAGAGAGAAAATGGCAACATGGCTTTCCTTAAATATGACAAACTAGTCATACCTAAACAAACATCCAAAAGAAAGTTTTCTGCATCGCCATCAAAACTCACAGAAGAAATGTCGAAAGGAAGAATTACACAGACAAACAAAAAAAATAAGCCACAACATCAAGAAATATCACTGAGAAGATCTAACAGCATTACCGAAGGAGTAAACAAACCGAGCATGCTAAATTTCCTTACAAAAATACAGCACAGGGACAAGAAACTACAAAAAGCAATGCGTAGCAAACAGCTGCTCCTCTCCATATAAACCCAACAAACTACTATTCAACGAAACATAACATAACAATATCCTCCAACCCGGTTGGTCACCGTGGAGGATTATGACCACAACCCTCCAAAGAAAACTATAACACCAAGCAACAAAAGCAACAATAAAAATTGCTTACTTAAAATACTTACATTCAATGTCAAGACTCTATCAACTTACGAACGACAATTAGAATTAGAAAATTGTTTAAGCGCTATAAACTACGATATAATGGGAATTTCAGAGGACAGACAGCAGGTCAATACGGAGTAGGTTTCATAATAAACAAGGAGATAAAAAAATAACATAGAAAGCTTTATTGGTATATCGGAGCGTTTAGCCATACTCAATATAGACATAGGAGGTCATACGATATCCATTCTTCAAGTCTACTTTCCTACGTCAGATGCAGAAGAAACGGATATCGACGAATTATATGAGTCAATTGAGGAAGCATTAAAAACGGCGCACAAACACGTCATACTTATGGGTGACTTCAACGCGAAGGTGGGCACATAAAAAAATACCAGGAATTAGTCGTGAAAGAACATGGCTTTGGCACAAGGAATAACAGGGGACAGCAACTTGTTGACTTTGCACTCATACACAAGCTAACAATAGTAAATACCTGCTTTAAGAAAAAACCAAACCGTAAATGGACCTGGGTAGTTCCATTAGCATAATATTACTTTTACACAATTATATAATTGTGTAAAAGCAAAAACGCGGTAACAGATTTAGTACCAGTTTGGGAAAGTCGGATATGACAAATCCGGTGATATAACTCCACTCGGATTCACTCCGAGGGAGTAGTTGTATCGGAGTGATAACTCCGGAGTGAGTTACCCATCTCTAGTGCACATTCACCGGTGAATGGGCACGCTGCTTTTGCACACTGCGCAATATTTTGCGACTAGCTCCGGTCAAACGTTAATAAAACGAATGATCCATCCCAGTTAGTTTAGCCGGTAGCTATAATAGCTATTAAGGATTCCCAATGGAGGTAACCTAAACTGTTTTTTTTTGTAATGGTGTCGCATCGTCTCGTATTCCGATACGATGGACCGTCGCCAGGCCACGCGGACCGTCGTCTGCATGTCTTTCACACTTTCAAGTACAAACGCATTAGTAATATAAGATATTTTAATTTTTGAGCTTAATTTATGTGTCTGGACCGTCTACATCCGCGTCGATAGCTTTTTATGTGTCTGCAAAATGACTTGAAATAAGTCTAAGAAATCATTCCCTTCAGTTTCATAAATTAATGTAACCCGCCTCTTACGGGCGGGGCTAATATTGTTAATGTTAATTTTTAATAATTTTTATTTAGTATAAGTTTAGAGCTCAGTATAGAAACACCAACTATCTGATGCCATTATATTCAACATATTTTTTTATAATAAACATATTAGTATCAAACGTCGCATTTTACTTAAATAATCACGCCAGTAGTTGAATTATATAACAAATTTAAAAGTGTATTGGTTAGGATAAGTAAATCGACAACACCCAGTTAGACGTCGAAGTAATTTTTATAGCCGTTTCTTTGTAATTTGAAAAAGAGTGTTAAACTTTTCGTCCACATTTAAGCTCATTCTACCGAATCGATTTTAAAAAATCAAAAACTGTTCGAAAGATATTAACTGGGAATGATACTGATTAGTTTTAGGTGAAAATCTATCGAACCGTTTTCTTGTAATTAACTTTTGAAAAATTAAGACAATTTTTATGAAACTTTCTTTGACGATGTATATAATGGTCTTATAGAATTTACTGAAATATTACGGCCTTACGACAAGTAGATTAATTTTAAAAAATCATCAAAGTTTGAGAAAATTTGTAGTTTTGTCGACGTTTGTTAAAATTAAAATTAGACGATTTACTTGGTATATAACGTTAGAGTAGTTGGTATGAATAAACCATTAAAGTTCTACGGAAACTGGTTCAAATATAAAAATCGAAAGTTTGCTTCTAGAAAATACTCCGAGTTAACGTGTTCGTTCGTTTTCAATTATGTGTAATAAATTCACTCGTAAATTAATTTGTTTATTATAGATTAAGTCGATTATTTACAAATCGGGAAGTTCATGTACTTGCCTCAAGGCTAAATACCAATACCAACCAGTTTATTTTTGAGGTGGAGGATACTGGTCTATGCGATGTTTGAATGAAACTTTTACGATTGGCATGCCTACATTCATTAATTGTATGACCTATTTTCTTACAATAACTACACGTCTTAGAAAAATTATTTGGATTATATTTTGTTCTAAAAAAAACAATTATTAGCGGTGTGCTCTATTTTTTTTACATAATTCTCAATTTACGTTAATATGTGATGAAGTTAAATCTTCAGTCACTGCAAAATTGGTAGCATCATTTAAGACTTAAATCACGTTTATATTGTCACGAGTGACTTATTTTTGTAGGTATGTATTAGTTAACTTTTGTTTTAGGTACCTACAGGTGTTTTTGACATGGCTTTTATTCCATCTGGCAAAAAGCGACTTATAAAGAAGCATTTCTACAATGGGGTTTCACAAGCATCACAGACAAAAATATAGAAAAGCCTCAGTGTGTTTTATGTAATAAAGTGCTTAATTCGGAAAGCATGAAACCGAACAAATTAAAAGAACATTTTGCTAAAGTTCACAAGCAGTTTGCAGATAAAAATATAGATTTTTTTAAGAAAAAGGAGAAGATTCTGAAGTTTTCGCGCATGGATTCTACAGGCAACATACAGAAAGCAAATGAATCGTGCCTTCAAGCTTCATACAAAATTGCTTATCGTATCGCACGTAATAAAAAAAACACACACTATAGGAGAGGACCTCATCAAACCTTGCATATTAGATGCGGTAACACTTGTTATAGGTGAGCAACATATAGCTAAGATTAACCAAATACTACTATCAAACAATACCATTCAAATTCGCATATGTGAAATGAGTGCCGATATTCAACAACCGTTATTGTTGAAATAAAGGAAAGTCCTATGTTTGCACTGCAGTTGGACGAGTCCACAGATGTTGCTTCGTGTTCACAATTATTAATGTTTACACGATACATTAAAAATGATGATGTGAAGGAGGAATATTTGTTCTGCAAGTTTTTGCCCACTACTACTCGCGGCGAAGACGTATTTCAGACTCTAAAAGAGTTTATTGAGGAAAATGGCCTGGACTAGTTAAAGCTGGTTGGTATTTGTACAGACGGGGCACTTTCCATGATGGGCGTCCGTTCTGGTTTTCAGTCTCTTGTGAAACAAGTTGCTGCTCAAGTTTTCAACTATCATTGTTTGATACACCGTTACGCTTTGGCTTTAAAAACACTACCACCAGTTATTATTTAAAAGTTTTGTGTGATGAAGTGGTGCTGCATTTAATGCACTTTTGTACCATACAGAGGTACGTTGGTTATCAAGAGGCAAAGTTCTAAGTAGGGTCTATGAATTACGAGAAGAATTGGATTGTTTTTTGAAAACCAGAGAACTCAAAAAGAAAAAGAATATTATGACAAAATTAAAGACCATATATTTGTTCTAAAAATGACGTACCTTGCTGATTTTTTCACTGAAATTAATAATCTGAATATTTCACTGCAAGGAAATAAAACAAATATTTGATGCTGCAGGATAAAATTGCAAGTTTTTTACGCAAATTGGAATTTTACCAACGCAGAGTTCAAGCTGGTGATGTGTCAATGTTTACACAACTAAGTGAACAATTACTAAATAATAAACGAGACAAAATCACATTTGAAAATTCTGTGGTGTAACACTTAACTGCCGTGATAGACTCACTGCAGCAATATTTTCCCGACATGGACATTCGTGAGTGCTACTCCTGGATTTTAAGACCATTTTCTACTTGCGTCGATATATTCAAGGACGAAGATGTGTCAGCTAGTGTCTCGGGCTGCGTGAAAATAACTTATTGAAAGTTGATTTTCAAAATGATAAACTCTGCACATTTTGGCGAAAAGCAGCTGCAGAATATCCCATCATAGCTGACAGAGCTTTAAAGATCTTGATTCCATTTGCTACAACTTACAGATATGAAACTGGTGTCTCAACTCTTCTTACATTAAAAACAAAAGCCAGAAATCGTATGAACATTGAGCATGATATGAGATGCTCGTTGAGTGAAACTGAACCTAATATTGTGAAACTTGTGAATGCAAAGCAATTTCAACCTTCGCACTAGTACTCTAAGATTTACATATAACTTTATATTACTAGTTACCTAAACATGCAATTTCTTAGAATTAGTTAAGAATTAGATAAAAACATATTTTCATCGATTTTGTGTGGTTTTATTTATTTTAAATTGGCTAGGGGTAAACTCCACTCTCATACTTGTTTAGGGGTAGTGACACTGAAAAGGTTGGGAACCACTGATTTAAGTCATTGAATCTATATGATTTAATTAAATTTGTTAATGGAATTTTGATACGATCGACAAACTTCTAAGAGCCGTCTCCATATATACAATTCGTAATCTTTCCGATATTTCTTGCCCTTGAGAATCGCAGTCTTTTTTAAACATTTTATCAACTATATCTAAAATTCTATCGCCAAAAGATTTAACAGATTCATTTGAAAATTGTTTAAGATAGTTGGAATATAAAGTGGAAACAGAAGTTTGGTCATAATATTCTTTACATAAATGTGTTTTAATACTGAATAATTTGCAATTTTTATTACGAATAACTTTAACTAACTATACTTTACTTTGGTAACTTTCTTTTACCATTAAAATAATTTATGTGCTTCCTCCGGTAACAAATTTACATGTAACGAGTCACATGCATCAATAAATGCACGGACATTGGTTTCATTTTCATCAAAATTCGGAATAATAGCTAGAGCTAGATTTAAATCTTATTATTTTTCATTACTATACCGATTGTATTCTTCATCTTGTGATTGAATGGTCCCTTGCCCTTGCTTAGGTA